TCTTTCTGCTGTGGCACGAATGCGCTTGCACTCCCGTGGAGGTACCACGTACTCACAGAAGACCAGTGTCGTAGTGTCAAGTGAGTGACGTGACCGAGGCACACTGCATTTTAAAGTTTGACGACGCATGTGTTACCCATGTGGTGTTATTGTAGACCGCGGGCGGCGGTAAACACTTGACCTCTTGCCCGCTTGTTAATTTTAAGCGTAGGAAATGATCACGTAACCGATCATCTTGACCAATTAAATTCTCTCACGTTTTGTGACAAGATGATTTTGCGCAATGTAAGCATAGCGCCTCGTGTTAGGAAGAGATTACCAAAATCGTTTTTATTTTAGCCATGCTTCACGATTTTAGAAAAGTTCCATTGTCCCACAATTCAGCCTAAGGGCTAATGTGCCCAAGGGCGTCGTTTTACTAAGGCCGTGCTTAACGATTGAAAAAGTTAGCAACGTCTCAGTTATTGCGAGTTCACAAGGGGCGATTATCACATACCATCAGCTGAAGAAGTGTTTGGCTGTTGTAGTTTACCATATCGAGAGAAAAAATAGTATACATACAATAATTATGTATCCTACAAAAATATCTGTTACATGAAGCACACACGGCAACCAATATTGAAGTGCCCAACCAATTAACCCAATGCATGTATGTATACTGCAAAAAACTGATGAAAACCGAACATTCATACCGCACGAAGTTCGGTACACGAAAAAGGTACACAAATGAAGTTCAATAGGTAGCAATACATATTTTAGCGCAGGCTAGAGTGCAGCAGTTGCTATAACAACCCCGTTGTTTTGCCGATGGTCCGCTCTGTTGCTACGTTTTTCTTTTGTTTTCAACCTTTTTCACACGGAAGCACGGGCGTAGGCATATGGCGCAGGCAGACAGTGGCCAGTGCTGTCAATTTTCACGGAATATCGGTACACTTGTACCGAATTTTTGTGTGACAGAAATATTTTTTTCCTTACCCATTTATTACGTAAATACATGTTAAATAACAAAACTGTTTATTCAAATTTTTATTAGATTTAAGTTGATGTAAAAATTATCATTGTCGGAGAGCCTGTAATAATTTATCAAGGTAGTTCGACTTATCAATTAAAACGATAATAAGCACTACGAAGAAACCACTACTGCCATCTTGTGAGATACGTACAAATTATTACAAAACGCTTTGACCAGTTCAAACTATTAAAAACTTAAACTGTGATAAATTCACGTATTCACGGTATTGATAAATTACTTCTTTAAATTAATTTATTCACGATATGCTTTAAAAATTATAACTAATGAAAGAATTATTCAATAAAAATTTACCTGTAAACGAAACAACGCCATCTTTCGTACATTATGAAAACTCGTCGATTGATTTCGATTGTCGATAATAACTAATAGGTAACTGTGTTAGCGCTTGTGGACTTTTCAAACGCTTGTAACACAGTCGACCATGATATACTCCTTTCCATGCTCTCCCATATTAATTTTGCAGACTCTGTTGTAGAATGGTTTTCATCTTATCTTTGTGGGCGTCAGCAGTCAGTCACCTTGGGGCAAAAAAGCTCGGCTTGGGCTGATGTTGAATCTGGCGTACCACAAGTATTCCGCATACTGTCTCCCATAATCATCTCTATTTTTATTAACTTTCTTACTGCTTTTTTGAACTGTTCGTATCATTTGTATGCTGACGATCTTCAGCTTTATGTGCAAGCCGATATAGACGACCTTCATGTTGCGATAGTAAAATTAAACGAAAACCTAGACAAAGTTTGGAGTTGGTCAACTTCTCATGTAGTTTCGGTCAATCCCTCGAAATGCCAAGCTATAGTTGTTGGTAGTTCAAGAATGCTGACAAAAATTGATTACTCGTCTGTACCACCTATAAAATACAATAATATAATAATTCCTTTTTCAAACGTGGTAAAAAATCTAGGTCTGCTTATTGACAATACCTTGAATTGGAGTGTATACGTTACCGAAATAAGCCGCAAAGTTACTGCCACCTTACGATCTCTCTATCGTTTAAAACATTTCCTCCCTTTCAAAACTAAACTTTTGCTTGTCCAAACGCTCATTTTACCCATTATCGATTATGCAGATTGTGTTACCCGGACGTATCCCAACATCTACTAAACAAGTTGGATCGCCTCCTTAATAACTGTATCAGGTTCATTTTCGGCTTACGCAAGTATGACTACATATCCTCCTATCGATCTCAACTTAATTGGCTTACTATTCGGCAAAGGCGGCAGTCCAGAATTTTGCTTGTGCTTTTCTCCATTTTAAATGATTGTTCCTCCCCTTCTTACCTCAAAAACAAATTCTTGCATCTCTCCTCATGATTCGGTCGTCTTACACGAATAAATTATGCATTCCAGCGCACTTTACCGGGTTCTCTGTCAACTCCTTTACTATCCAAGCAATACATCTTTGGAACTCCTTGCCCGATAACGTAAGAAACGCAAAAAGTAAGACATCTTTCAAAATACTGGTTCGTGAACACCTGTTAGACAAATTCGACCTAAGATATGGACTGTAGTTAAAAGTAGAAGCTAATTGTTATTTATTTATACAAGTATACATCTTTATATATATATATATATATATATATATATATATGCATGTATATAACTTAATATATGATTTGTATCCAATTATAATATTATTTTCATATACATTCTCTTTAATTAAAATGTTATTATTCTTGCATCTTTTTGCTGCACCTACCATAAACTCTCACCACATCCTGGGTTGACTGGTAGAGAATGCCTTTGGGCATTAAGTCCGCCCTTTGTTACCTTGTTTTACTGAAGGTTGGCAATAAAGATTAAATAAATAAAAAAATAAATAAAATAACGAAGATTTAAGGAAACTGTGAAATAATTACATTTCACTAATCATACATAACAAAAATTTGTTCCCGTAAAATGAGAGTATCAGGTATTCATTTACCCAAGTGTCTCTTTTTCAATTTCGAAGGAGGCCCCTACTCTGTGTATCCTAGTGCCCTGTTTAAACGGCGCTGTGAACCATACGCGATTTTTCATTGGAATATCCAGCATCCTCCTACCATCATCACACATAGATGGTATCGGCAAGACATAGTGTGAATCATGCTGTAAGTAGTTTTGATTGGGTTTTTTACGATCGGCCAGCCGCCAGACGTGAATCCTTTTTGGGAACAAACACCCAAATTCGATACAGTTATCTGTGGGTCACACAAATATGTTTCCTGTGTGGGAATCGAACTCACGAGCCCCGGCGCCGAAGTACCTGACTACGGGGGTTAAGAATATTTGGTACCGGTGTACCAATTTACTACTGATAGATCTGAACATCACTAGCAATATCTTTTATTGCCTATATTTTAGCATTTAGCAACTGGAGCCAATAACGCTTCATTTGATACCGCGTCCGTATTCGGCCTTTAAAAATAGCGAATACTTCCAGGCAAAGTTAAATTAAGCCGGCGTACAAAATACGTACCTCGAAATTTCTACTGGATTTCAGAACCTTTATTGTGCTTTGTGTATATTTTTTGTATAAAATTAATTATAAAGGAACGAAGTATAAACATAACTGTTATGAGTCTATTGTTGGAACAATGTATGTTATTATTCTTATTATTTATGACCAAACAAAAATGCACTCAAAAACTTAGAACATTCCAAATCTTAAAAGAATCGGTTAGGCTTTGATTTTGCAATCACAATTTTGTTATGGAAAAAACGTCTCACTCAAATATTCTCAATTTAAGAAACAACGCTAGAAGGTTGATTTTTATCAAGTGATTATTATAGAAAAATGTTTCTCTCTAGTAAATGAAATGGGTGCGAAAACGCGAACGTAATGCATAACTGTATTTACTGTATTAACGGAGTTTCAATAATAATCTATCTTTGATGATGTTTTGCTCTTATTATTAAGGACTTAATAAGGCACAGCTACCAGAAATGGTTCAATTTCTAGGGCCTGTTAAGACGATGTATGTCGGCTAAGGACCACCTGTTATAAAAACCGTGACTATCGTCGACGATGTTACTTGGGAATATTACAGGTGTTTCTATCCAGGGTCTTCAATACAAACAAGGAACAAATCATCATAGGAATTACTTTAAAACAATTGTCAGAAACATCAATGCGTAATGTATATTACATTACGCATTACTATGTTTTCTGTTTCGTAAAACGATGGACAATGAGAAATATGTTTTATAAACAGCATAGAAGAAACATTAAAAAAAAATATTTAGCCATCTGTTGCTAAATTTTACAAGAGCTTAGAGATAATAGAATAGAAATAGATAGTAGATATTATCGAAAAGATAGTTCTCAAGCTTCTTCCTAAGCCGAATAAATTCGTTCCACAAAACTTAAAACGATTGTTGAAACAGTCTTCTTAGGATATATAATATGCTAATCGAATACACTGGTAATATTTGAGGATCTACCCCGTAGTGGACTCCAACCTCCTCTATAGCCATCCAAGCCTCACTTTATTTACTTATTACTGAAAACTATTTCTAATCTGATTTCTCCTGTCTACAGACAGTCAATGATCTTCGTTACTGGTGCCAAGAATCATCTCAGCTTGATCTGTAACCACCGACCGCAGACTGTTTGATACCCTCGGTTACTGATACTGAATGTCATCTGGTAACCAACGTCGGCAACCAACGGATCGTTTGATCCGAGTGCCTTAGTTACAGGTGCTGATTCTTATCTGGTTTCGACACATACCTACCTACCTACAATTTTATTACGCCTATTGTGGTTTATATCCCCCGTTTCTTGTCCAAAACAATATAGCAACACTGTTCTGTTCTGACGTTTAGTTATTGCAAATGGCAATTTAACCTTGCTCTATGTTACCATAACCATAATCCATATGTATTCTATTTTATTTTTCAACTCTTCAACAAAAACTCTGAACTGAGTTTGTTCGCGGACAGTGTTTCGCAATAACATTGTTTTAAAAAGATAATATATTTAAATCATGCTTTCCAGTCTGAGAACTGGTGTACAAGGGCTGGTACGTCATAAGAAAACAAATAAACGCCAGTTGTGTGGATGATTATAATGAAAATTACATAATATCCAAGTTCATAGTGATCAGGCACAGGAATTGTTACCATTAAATTAATTATTGTTTTCAGTGGCGCATGTCCTCAAGAACCCTTCATACGACCAGTAGTCTGCAGCATGACAGCTTATTTGTTCATCGAGATACACCTGAAGACAATCCAAATATTCCATTCGAATTTTCGCCAGAAAATAACAAGGTCTTTCTTCATTTTAAACTATGAGTGAAAACATTTTTTTCAAACGTTTAAATTAGGAATGCTATTTCTGAATAGTACCTGTCATTTAGAAGTCATTATTACCATTCCTGACCATTTTAAGAATAACATTGTGATCATTGGCGTATTCTTTGAAAACCGCCAAAAAAGAAAAGAAGAAGAAAAAAATAACATTTGAACTTTTATCATTCAAATGTTTTTCTAATGTTTTAATTGAAATTTACATATAACACTTCACAAATTTTAAAAATTTACATGTATAAATACTGTAAAATATTATGAGTAATATTTACCATGCCAACTAAATTAGAATACTGTATTTAACATGTCAACTGAATTTCAAACATCCTTAGTTAGATTTTTTTTTAAAATAATGAAAATATCCTTTTTTTTGTTTATTAATCATCAATGTTTTTCTTATGCTCCAGCGGATAGAAGCACTCCTAGCTATTTACCCTGAAGGTCATAAGAGAGGTGCCATGATTCCTCTACTGGACCTAGCCCAACGGCAAAACGGTGGATGGTTGCCAATATCCGCAATGCATAAAGTTGCTGAGATATTGAACCTGCCTCGCATGCGAGTGTATGAGGTTGCAACTTTTTACACTATGTTTATTAGGTAAGATAATGAAAAAACCCTAAAATTAATTGTGAAAATGAAAATAGATGGGCAAAGTTCTTATTTAAATAAAAAAAAGATATTCACATGTGTGTTGGTCATACATATATATCTCCTTATTACGAGACAGAAATAGAGTTAGTCTATAAATTAACCCACAGAAGCTAAAACTTCCAAATAAGGCTATATAAGCATGCATTTTATCTACTCTGCTTTTCTACTCCTAATTATTATTATATATTACAAGAAATAATATAAAACAAGATTAGTTTATATTATACTGGGTGGCTTTTTTAAATGTGCCCTGTGTGAAACAGGAGGTTCAGACTCGGTAGTATAATCGTTTATTGAAATAAAAACAAATTTTCTTTTCAAAATTTGCAATTCTATTCCCTAAAAAACAGAACTTGTTGACAATGCGGTAGTCATTCATAAATGCGTCTTATACTTTTGAAACAAACTTGTGAATGTGTAAGTGATGAATGTTCGCACATAAAATAAATGAGTTGCCCATATGTCACACACTTTTTGAGATAAGTACAAATTAATGTAATTAATTAATTGTGATTTTAAATATTTATCATTTTTATATAACAGTCTTTATGTCTAGAATTTAATAAAAAAAAATGGATACACTTAGAAAAGCCTTCCTGTATAGTGTATGTAGATACATATTGCATTATTACTTCAACAAGGTAGCAAAATTTAAATCTCATGTGAATAGGTATGAATCAATTGTGTCCTATAGAGCAACGAGAAGCATGTAGACCAACAAGATTCTGTTATCAGACATATGGCAGACTAATAAACTACTTTGAAACTCAGTAAAAATGGACATATTCAGCTGGATTCAAGGGCATATATATAAAATTATAATTTCAATTATAAATGTAATTCTATTAGTCCAATAATTATTGTTTGATCAATTGTCCCTGAAATGTATGGTACTAATTATATAATCTAAATAATTTGAGTCAAGAATTTGTGTAATTTCAAATACTATCATATTATACAATGTGCATTAGCCACACACAAATAGACTCACAACAGCCATCCTAGAAAAATTTCTACATATCTCAGTCTCAAATATCCCTAATGCCCACATCATAATCAGCTTTTTAATTAAAACTTTCAGGCGACCAATTGGCAAATACCATGTCCAAGTTTGTACGACAACACCATGCTGGCTGCGTGGATCTGATAAAGTCCTCAATGCAATAAAAGAAGCCACTGGCTGCGAAGTTGGTGGGAACAGCCCTTGTGGCAAATTTTCATTATCTGAGGTCAGTACAACTAAGTTTACAAGACTGAACACTTATCGTTTCCTCAATTTATGCTCATACCACACATTTTAATAAACAATAAATTGAATATTATGGATATCATGGTTAATTTTTAATAATAAGTGCCAATGGAATGAGTACTTCACATCATTTATGGTCACCACATCAACCACAGGTTGGAATTTAATTGAAAGAATCCCTATGCAGTGTTAGAATCCAACAGAAATATTCCTTTATCTCAATAGTCTTGCAAACCATTTAGAAGATATTGAACCAGTAAAGTATTATTATAAACTGTACACATGTTATTTCATTTTTAAGGTTTTTCAAGCTATTAAGTTATAACCACCCTAGAACTTATAACATTATTTTTTGGCAGGTTGAATGTCTTGGTGCCTGTGTAAATGCTCCCATGGTGCAGGTTAATGATGATTATTATGTAAGTACAGATATTTAATTTCATATACTAATAACATTTTTTACTGTTATTTTAAAAATAAAATATCAACTACCTAAGAATGCAAACATATTAAATTTATTTAAACACTTAGAAAAATAAGAAAGATTTTTTTTAATATGAATGTGGGAATGAGATAGTCAATGTAATTGTTTGGGGCAAAAAAAGGACAAAAAAGAAGATACATACGGACTTTCTTTTGCCTGTTTTTTCTCCGTTAGAGAAGGAATCTCAATACAAAATTGTAGTAGATTTAATAAAAAGACTATCAATAGATGAAATTTATTTCTTACTTCAATGAATAAATGATGTGATTTGATAAATATAAATTTAAAGGTGTTAACACTTTCTTATAACCCTCTCAACCCCTTTTTTACTGTTTTATAAATTTCAGGAGGATCTTAGCATTGAGGACACAAAAGAAATAATTGAGAAGTTGAAGAGGGATGAAAAACCTAAACCGGGTCCAAGGTATGGTCAATTTGATTAAAGTATGAGGAAACTGTGTGGGCCACCTCTAGTTGCCATTTGATAGCATTTTAATGGAGTTAGCATTGATTTTGATTGTAGCCAGCTGAACCATTTCATTTGATATTATGAAGAAGAAGAACACTATGGTTGAGTTAAAATGATAGTTCCAAAAATACTAATAAAAAAAAACTGTCATAGAAGGCAGGATTCAGAAAACTTTGAAAATTCTGTGACATAAGTAAGAGAGAAATTTCATAGAAAATGTAAACTTAATATGTAACTAATAGTTATTAATTCGACAAATAAGCCAACTCTATCATACAAAATTAGTAAGGAGGCCTAAATGCACCTCATATGGATAATAAGTTAAAAAACAGACTACTCTCAATCATTACCAGTATCTATAATTAGTAATTATACAAATATTCTCCTCCTCCTTACCAAGCCTATAAATGGACTATAATGTCTATAATTAAAAAAGTTGTGGTTACAATGAAAGAAGGTGGTTTTCCTTACATGACTATGATAAGTGACGCTTTTTAATTCCGCCACATTTTCCACAGGAGCGGTCGCTTTGCATCGGAGCCATTGGGAGGTCTCACTTCCCTCACAGAAGAGCCAACGGGTCCAGGCTTTGGCTTGCAGGATGCTCTCAAAGCCTAAATCACCTAGTTTTGCTTTGTAAAAATTTATTTAACTAGAAAATATTGAAATAAATCATGTTAATTTGTTTTAATCCTTTGGACAAGTTTTAATTCATAAAATTTACTTCCAGCTTTAATTTCTCATGTACACAATATTTTGATTAACAGGTATCAGATTCCGATTTTAGTGTTATGGTACCATCAAGGAAGATGTTATTCAAACCAATGTGATAAACATCGGTTATATCAAACTGTTGTGTATAGTGTCACTATGATATCAAATATATCTTGACGTTTCTCATTTTTCTTTTCAGAATGACTTACAATTGTGTAATTGCAAACAATATATAATAATTATTTTATTAAACATACGTTTATTACCGTTCACTGTTGGAACAAAATAGGCAAGGCAGAATCGTAGTTTGACGTTATAACAGTGTTACTTCAATAAAAACCACATATCGCTTTTGGTCGGAAATTATAATAAAGGGAAGATGATAATATTTAATTAATAATTATGTAATTTATAATGTTGTCTTGTATCTTGTATTAACTGATGTTTTTGCTTTCAGTCCCGAGACTATTAAAGCTTCATCTGACGCAGAACCGTTGGGCTAGCCAGAACCCACGGGTTTGGGTTTATAATGTTATTTCAGTTGACTAACGACTAATATCCCTGTTAGTTTAATCGTAAGCTGATATAATTACGGTTAACATCTAGCAACAATGCTAGTACCTAAAAATTTATTTTATACTGTAGTTATACACTACACAAATCAAATCACCGGTCGAAAGTGTTCCTATTCCAAACAGAGTGACGGTATATATTCACACGTTTTGTTCGAATATTATAAAACGTATAGTATAAGCATATAAGAAAAAAGAGTACGGCATGTGTTTGTCACTTTATCAAGAATAAAAAAAATAATCTCGAGGTGCATCTCTTTCTTGTCCATGTATTAAACTTGGGCGTTTTCGAGGCTTCACTGGGATGTTTGTGTTGTGCGTGCACAACATAATTATATCTTTAGTATACAAAATCATTGAGAACAATCAATTCACGATGAGTGGACGATCGTACGCATACTATTAAATTATGATATCAATCGATCGTAAGCGACCTAAAAGTGAGCTGGCTCGTGTGAGGCTGCGAATCGGGGACTTCTTGTTCGCCGGCGAACGCGTTGTGCCTGGTCTATGTATCGCCTCGTTATGTCGTTCCTGCGGCGTTGTCAGATGAAGAATATATAATATTATTATTAACAATAATAATAAATTAATGTTAGGTACATGTTTTAGTACCTTACCTATAGCTATTATAATTATGAACACTAGTCGCTTGGCTACTAAAATAATAAATCTAAACCCTGTTAAATTATAAGCGTTTTCTTTATTTTTCTTATAATTTATGATTTAATTTTTGCTCGTAGCATTTACTGCAATTCTAAGTTTGGGACACCCAGAAAGTGATATACTTATTTAATACAGTTCAGACTCAGTACATATCTTTTGATAATCTTAGCAGCAACCTAGACTGAGATATCTGTTGTAATCACAAAGGTTAAAGATCTAAGCTTGGCCATTGATACGTCTTTTTCCATACCATTGCGGAATAACCAGTAAGCACCAGCACTGCTGCTTTTGACAATTATTCCTGATGATTACTTGTAATATTATTACAACGTAATATTCATAATTATGTTATATTTAAAGATTGCTTACAGTTTCAATATTTACCCTGAAAAGAACAATCCAAGTGCTAAGTTGTCAATTACTCACCTAAAGCGCAAGTATAAGCGGAAAAAACATTGATAAATTGCCTACTTTCAATTATCCAGATACAGGCTGTTAGTAATTTAACTATTATTTTAGATAACTACTACCACATTTGGACTTGTTGACTGTTCGAAGAACTTATCAGATAAAATAAATATTTTTATAAAGAAAATAAAATATGGTCAGGAATAAAACATCGTTTTATGTTTTTTACGTGAAAGCTGTCCGTCGTTTCCCTCTGTTGAACTCTGTGCAACCAAAGAGGTTAGAAGTTTATATGTATTAATTCTTATACACGTAGAACATTAATTTGTGCTAGGTAAATCAGCCGATTTATAGTATTATAATAGGAAGAAATTACAAACAATACAAAATTAATTAAATCTCGGTATTCTGTACTCATTAATGTTGTCAACGACTTTGATAAACTAATCTCAGAAAAGTGTTTTTGTTTCAGACTGTTTATGAATCATGCTGTATTCGATGGCATATTTACTTCACTCATTGATAAGACTACTACATAGGACTTATCAGTTGTGATTTTGCCGTGTTAGTGTTGTGATCAGTTAATGTTATTGTAATATAGTTTTCTATATGTTACGTGATAGGTGAGGTAAAAGTATATGTAAATAAAGTTCAAAATTCAAATAAAAGTGAGTTTTACACAACTAATACGTGTCACTTGTGAGTGCTATGTTGTTGTTGATTCCAGATGTTCCGTCGTACTAAGACAGATGGAGCTCAAGAATATACTAGGCTACAATTATATGAAACTGAATCGAGGAATGAAACAACTGTAAGTTTAATTTTTTTAACTGAATAACAAAAATTAACATAACCTAGTTTGTAGATAATTCGATTTGTAAACGTAAACAAAACACATGAATAATAAATAGTATATGAGTTTAATTCGATTGAATGTTATGAGGATCATATAATATTATTCCCGTTAGGTTAGTGTGCCATTAAAAATTTTGAACTTTTATAATTATTATATCGACGCAGTTTAAAATTGGTTTTCCACAGAGTACATACATTTTCTCTTTGCTGTCAAACGTTGCGTCAAGCATTTTACGTTTAACAATCCAATTGTCAGATGTGACAGTATATTTTGGTACTTCAGTGGTTTGTGTCGTCTTTTCGGTGTAAAAATGTCTTTCGAAGCTTAAGCTCTGGGACATTTAGTTAAAAATGAAAAGCAGTCCTACTCGCAAATATGAGAGTTTCACCAACGAACATCAGGGAAAAGACTCCGACAAATATTCCCTAGACAGCCAGGACACGGCAAGTTTGGTTAGTCAGTTTAGATTATTGATTTTGTTTGTGTACCTTTTCTAGTGTTATTGATTAATAAACCGTAAGCCCTTCTCGAAATCGTTTTGTGGAATAAGGTTAACAACTGAGTTCTTACGTGTTTTATTGAATGTTTTTTTTTAAATTATTAGAATCTACGTAGTCATATCGACCCACATTCAGCACAAATATGAAAATAATTATTAGCCATTTTAACGTTTATTTTTTTAAATGCTCTGTTAATCGCAATGTATACGAGAGTAACTTTCAATTTCAATTAAGATATGTTAGTTTGCATACCGCGAGAGCTCTGAAATTACGAGTTTTACTTTCACAGCGACACGTGAATTACTTTTACTACACGATTTTCTTAATGTATAAATCCTCTGGTATCACGCGCCCGCATTTTAGATTTAAAGCGGTTTTTTATGTTTATTTCCTTAAGTTTTAATTATTCAATAAATAAGTTTTAATTGATAAATAGTATATAGATATTATAAAAGGAACCTTCTAGAAATTCCGACGTATGATTGTCTAAAAGAATTTCTAACTCACATTCCTAACTTGGGAATAACTTGATACAATATCATCTTTACATTAAAGATGATGAAGTATCAATAAATCGTAAGATGGTTTTACAAATTTTTCAATGCATATTATAAGTATATTTGGCCAGCTGTAGAATGGAACAGACATACAAATTGTGTATTCTTAACATGATTTCTGTGTTCTAATGTAAAAGCACATGTTTTGGTCTCCTGTCTTTTTATTGTTTCATATTATTCTTTATTTCATTAGTTTCACCTTAGTCTAAAGTTTATTTTAAGGAGCGTATATTGAAAATTCTTTATATTTTATCCTCAAAATTAGTGACAATATAATTTTCTTTAAAAGTTATGCATTACAGCTAGTTTATTATTTCTAATTCAATATTGTATATAATTATATGAGTGTTATTGAATTATGAATTCACAAGAAATATAGACATTATAATGTATATTTCACAATGTCTGACCATGGGAGTCATTTTTGCCTCTGGTGAAATCTCTGTTTAATTTAAATAACTTTATATTTTATTTATTCCATTTATATGTAGCATGTTCAATATCAATGTCCTACTAATCTGTTGAATGATTTTTCCAATATCTCATTATATTCAATGGTATGCATTAATTACTTATTTCAAAGGATTTAGTTGAAGGATATAAAAATTGTATTATGCACTTCAGTGCAGACAATTATCTCATGACAGTTGACAGAATCAATCATTTATTTGATATATTTATGGTATTTTAAACTTAAACAAAAAGTCAGTTTATTTGTCTATATATATTGTATTTAAACAATGAGGGATTATTAACTTTGGTGTTCAATTGTAAGAAAATGAAGTACAATTTTAAAAAAGTAATAACTGATGTTTTTTTTTGATGGATTTTAGTTACATGGTTTTGTTCAGCTTTACAAAGGTGTGGCCTGTATGACCATTGCCTAATTCAATACTGTAATGCAAGAAAAATCAGGTTTTTCTAGGATGCCTATGTCTAGGATGGAAAAATATTTTTGGTTGCCCATAGTTTTTCTATTTAGAATCACAAATAGCACAAGTGTATATAACTAAAATGTTAATTGCAGTTAGAGTATATGCAGTACTTATAACAAAAACCATTATTTCAAATTTTTTTTTATTTCTAATTCTTAATTCTTGATCTTCAAACAAAGGATGAAGACCAAATTATAATAAAAAAAGCTTGCAATTCACAAATGATTTAATTCACCACAAACAAGAAATTATGCTTTGTTAAATATTCAAGATTATGTTTTTCTACCTTAATGATTTTTTGTTGCTTAATAACATAATATGTACATGCAGATATCAAAATTAATGATTTTACTAGCTTTGAGTGATTTTACTAGCTTGCCTAAAAAAATAAGTGTACATGCATGTACATGTGAATCATTTTAAATTACATATTTATAATTTTGGCAGTTTATCCTATATGGGGAAAAAGTAAGTTAGTGGATTATCAAGACAACATTGAAAATTTATCAATTCTACATATATCATTAAAAATTCAATTAACTTTTAGTTGTTGAATACAAACATGGAAATTTCTATAATAAATATCTTTCTTATTAAATAATTATTTATTTAACTAACTAACAGAAGAGTGTTGCAAAGTAATAATTTAGCAAACATACCATAAAATACCAATAACCTTGGCCCATCAGTATGGAAAATTGCCAGGCTGTGGCTAAACAACCCACTTTTTATTGTGATTTTCTGATTTGTATTCAGGTGATGCTTCAACCTTATGCAGGTTCAGTTTAAAATCCAACTATCTTCAGAATTTTCGTCTTACCTTGGCTGACATCAGTCTGTTATCTGGAATCTAACAACAAAGGTATAGTTCATGAATATGTTGAATCGTCAAAAAATTCTCATTGCTTCACAAAATAAGTAAGTAATGAAGTTTTTTTGTTGGTCTGGTGAGTATTATAACCGAGACCCCTCGATCCACCCGTTTGTGTGGACAATGATGATGCGGATCATTGTAAAACTTAAACTATCCAAGTTTCCCTCATCAAAGCTATTCCTACACCATTTTATGAGGGATAAGTAAGATTTATATATAACACTTCGATAGTACCTATTATAATATCAACTTATTGTTTTCTTGAGCCTTATTGTATTTAACACAATTATGATTTTATCTTTTAATATGTATAACACTATTTATAGTTTTGCTCACTATCCTTTGGATTATATTGTTTTTGTTAGTAGCATGAAATGAAATTGATTATAAAATGTTTGCTTAAGACAATGTGTTTTTAATGCACGGAACACAGCTATATTAAGGCCTGATTGCTATATTGTCGTGCTAAATATATGTCAATAAGATAACGCTGGGTTTTCTCTTGAGACTTTACAGACAAATTTCACCAACAGTAATGTTTATGTAGGTAATACGTGGTAATAAACTTTAATTTTCACTGAGTTTTAGCAACATGTCATTTCTAGAGTTCCATATAGAAAGGGTAAAACGGGACCCTATTACTAAGACTCCGCTGTCTGTCCATCTGCCACCAGGCTGTATCTCATGAAACATGATAGAAAGTTGAAATTTTCACAGATAAATATTAAGTGGGGTTCCCCCCCATACAACACACATGATTTTTTTGGTGTTTTTATAGATAATGGTGCGGACCCCTTCGTCCGCGAGTCCGACTTGCACTTGGCCGATTTTATTTAGTTAAATAAAAACGAGATTTTGTTGTACTGCAAGCAATTATATTATAAACTGTTCCGTAAGAGACGGTGCAGTGTCTCCACAAACTACAATGTGATATGTAAGAGCAATAACATGCTTTTGCTATTTAGATAAATTGTAAACCTATTTATTCGGGTACTTACTCCTTTTGTTTTCATCTCCACAACATCTTTGCACTGCTAATATATCTTAGGTTATTTAGTTTACTTACTTAATTACCCTCGGGTTCTCTCAATAATGTGCCGCAGTAAAATTCTCCCGTTTCTAGATAATCAAAATATTACGACTCTATATATAACCGACACCCTACACCAATAGTATTTCATCACAAGAATCATGTCCAAGAATCCACGATAAGTCTTTTAATGACGCGTCTCTCTGACTCCAGAATCACCCAACTATTTAACTATGAACATCTTAAAGCAAAAAAAAAACAGCAAAGACGAAGCTTTTGCAACGTTGCTTATAAAATCCGTGCTGTCCGACAGGCTGGTCACGTGACAGGTGACCAGCCTGTCGGACCTGACAGGAGACCAGCCTGTCGGACCTGACAGGAGACCAGCCTGTCGTCGTGCACACTCAGTCCGGTGGTTTCATGCCCAGTCAAATCGAAAAGAAAGACATGCGTTGTATAAAATGACGCCAAAGTATGTGTTGAATTTAGAGATAAATAAAGCTCTTATGAATGTTACAATCTTACACTCGTTCAACAAAGTCCTGCGATAAATTCAGCGGTACATTTTTTGGGATTCCCTAAGGTTAAAACGGGTCCATATTACTAAGACTCCGCTGTCTATCTGTCTGTCACCAGGCTGTACCTCATGAACTATAAGTTAGACAGTTGAAATTTTCACAAATGATGTATATCTGTTGCCGCTATAACAACAAATACCAAAAACAGAATAATGCCATACAACAGGCATGATTTTTTTTAGCCGGTGTTATAGATCATGCTACGGAACCCTTCGTGCGCGATTTAGACTCGCACTTGGCCAGTTTTTTACTTTACGATTAAGGTGATATGTAAATAATATGGTGACGATAACCTTCGTTGCCATTAAACCTAATGAAATTGCTGCCGACATTGGGACTTGCCGAAAGCTGCTAATATTTGTAATGTTAACATGTTTGTGGTTAACTTTGTGCAAGAGCAGAGTTCGCCGTTTCCATAAACGTTGTCCCATACGTGTCTCACGTAGTAAAGTAATGTCTTGTCGAATTGCAAAAAGTCCGGTCGAGTTGGGGCTTTCGGTTCCATTAATACCGTACCGCGCGCTCGAACCACCTGTGCATTTTATTTATAACCCACTGCAGGAGTGACGTGGCTCGGAGCGTACCAGAAGAATTCCGCGGTAATATGCGAGTGAATTAATTTTGCAGTCCACGCCCGAACTATCCGAAACAAATTCAACTTTTTTTTTTATTTATTTTATTTATTTGCACCATTAGGGTTGAACACGTAAAAGCTGGATAGGTTGCGAAATCAGATTTTCGTCGACGCAATAGCAACACTTGAATGTTTATGGGCGGGGTGTTTTTTTTTATACAGCGTGTCGTTACCATCGCGACAATAAATGAACACACATATAAGGGATAACTTTTTAAAGTTGTATTAAACATTTAAATTCTTTGAACATCAATATTTACAGAGTTATTAAATTTTCCAAAACAAAGAATTTTAGAACACTCTTACCTATAAGAGCGTAACGTAAAGTTCATTTGTAAAGGTCACAAAGCATATGAATGCGTTGAATGAATTTAAAAGAGACAAAAAATACTGTTAGAAGGAGAGGCTTGTAATACGACGCTGTGCCGCGAGTTGTATAGGATGTTACATATTTTGTTTCTTTTTTACTTAATTAGTTTGTTTGAAAAATGTTTTTTTTTAATTATGGATTTTGTGTAACCTTAATATTTTTTATGATTATTGGCAAGTAGCATTAGACGTGTGTTCATTTATTGTCGCGATGGTAACGACACGCTGTATATGTGATAGTGGCAAGAGAGTTGGTGGATCACCCCATGTTATGTGATAACCGCCGCCTATAGACGTTTGTAATATCCGTAGGGTTGTAGATGGGTTGCAACCTGTTAACAAAGCGGGCCCCGGCTGCCTCACTCGCCAAACGAAACGCAACCTGTCAATAAAACAACAAAACTAGTTACGTTGAACTGTTAATGTTATATTTATTTTCACTTCGAACTATTATGGCTTTAAATGCTGCATGATAAGTAAAAACTTTTTGCTATCCTCAAAAGAAATGCCTGAATGCATTTAATTTGTAAAGTCCTTGTGTTACCCCGCTAGCTCCCTTGTATTAAGCCTTATCGTTTAAAAAAGTTGAAATGGACAGCTGTACGTTTGTGAATTGAACCCCCTTAAGGAACCAGGATCTCGAGTGCATTATTGGTCTATTATTATACATGTTAAACTACCTTAATTATGGAATATAAGTTTTATTTTATTTAGAACGACATTATGTTACAGTTTTGTTCAAGAATTAATTGGTTTTAAATTTTATAGCTAATTCCATAATCATAATGATGTCGTGTGATCAATTCTAAGAGTTTAACCATCCTTTTGGCAACTCAAATGACATTAGACATTTCTAAGATGATCAGTGTTTCAGAAACCGGGCGTAAGTGTATTAGGTATATTGTACCAGCGACATTTGTTTGGAGTTTTGATCTTCAAGAGCAACAGTGATCACTTGGTGGTGTTCACAATCGGGTTAGCCGTTGGTTTTGTGCCATCTCATAAAAAAAAAGTGCTAGAAATCTCACTTTTAGATGATGGCGTGGCGTAGTTCAGTAGTCAGTGGCTTCGGCGCTGGGTGTCTTGGGTCCGATTGTATGTTTCAGAAGCTGTAATTAGCATAAATTCTTTTTGAAAACGAATAAATTCTTTTTTAAACATGAACATGAATACGTATAGCATACAACCGTAAAATGTGATTACTTTTAAGGGCTACGTGCTTACGGTCTTTGAGCATACTATAAAAAATTACATTAAAAAAAATGAACATTTTATATAGTACATAACGCTTTCGTGGAGAAGTTCAAAAGCTTTCACGAATATTGCGACCGCCATGTTTTAGCGTCGGATAGCTTCGTCGAGTGTCGTTTTCATTGTCCTGCTTTGACTATATGGATCACTCGTAACAGCTCACTGGGTCAATGTTTTTAAAACAGACGATTCGTTTATTTATTCGACCCTGTGCAACATTGTATATCGTATGTACAATATAAGCTTACAGTGTACTTGACAAAAGCCTCTTTTAATTTGTAATCGTTGGTGGGTCTTATTGAGCATGTTGCTTATGAAAGCGTTGACCGATTGTGTAGCCATGTTCACATAGTTTGCGCAGGCGTAGACTGTATATCGCTCATCGAAAAGAAGAATGACTTAATTACCATTTAAAGATTTTTACAGGAGAACGTTTTTAAAGTTTGAAATCGAAAATATAATGTACTTTATACCATTCTGATGAAAACTTTTAATATTTATGTATGATACTTTACTATCAAAAATATTATACAATAGCTTCGTGAGAAAACTGAAAAAACGTTTTAAAAAATACTAAATAAAACAAACCTGACGTACATTTATTTGACGTACATTTAATTTTATAAATTAAATTTAACATTTATGACATTTAATACATTTTGATATGGGAATAAATCATGAATTAAAAAAAAATATGTTACGTTTAGCTTTATTTTTATAAACTTGTTTACAAATACAATTATAAACGCATAATAGGAAGTATCAAAGCTTGAAAACAAAAAAAACTGGTAGAAATATAAAATAATATCACAATGACTGATTAATTTAGCAATTTTACAACATATTATGTTGTAAATAAAAACAGGCCTCTTTGATTATCACAAAGTTTTATTCCTGAAGGAGAAAATATTACAAAACGGCGCACACAAACATGCGCGCGAGCAAGGAGCAGAGAAAAATTTGCCATATACAATAACTGCAATGTTGATAGTTTTGCAAACAGTCTTTTTCCGGTGGAGACGATGGTGTAGTGTGGATCGTTTTTGAACATTTTAAGACGGCGAAAGAAATCCTAAATCCTAGAACCCTCTTATTTGACAAAATTTCAAACAGGTCCATGAACCACATTACCTTGGTAGGGCCGCGCAGCAGCCTCGGTTGCACCAATGGGCCAGGTGAGTACCACGACCTTACAGAAGACCAGCGTAAACTGGAAGTAGGACAATTACTTTCGCGTTTCGTCTGGTGAGTGAGGTAGCCGGAGCCCAACTTTCAAAAGGTTGTCAACACATCTGTAACCCTCGGGTGTACCAGAAGTCCGTGGGCGGCGGTATTCACTTACCATCAGGTGAACCGTCTGCTCGTTTGGCAACTTTTCACATAAAAATAGAAGAACTATAAAATATAAAGATTAACAATTCTTTAAACGTAGTACACCTGTACCGTACTTTACTCAAGTAAACGAGAACCGATTTAGTTGTTACATATTAGTATTCTGATCGCACTTTACGGTGGGGTAACATCCTGTTGACACTACACACTTGATTTAAATTATATTTGGACAGTAGTATGGCGTGTTCAGAGAATGTATATAATATATAGATCATTATGCAGCAATCGTTATTGTGTATGATTTATTCGATGCAAATCGTCAACGGTTCATCTACTCTGAATAATAAATAAGCGGCGCCAGAAGTTAAAGGTACTTTTAAACCAAAACATTGGTCGAATTTGCCAATATGCTACCGTACAGTGTTCCGCGTTCTTATCATAATTATTTATTTATATGAAAAAAAATGCCAACGAGCTAATGCCCATGGACATTTGCAACACATCAACTTGTTACCTCACTCAAGATGAAACGCAGATGTGACTTCCCCGGACGGACCTGCCCGTTCTTGCAACAGCGAAGACTTTACCATACCTTTACCACAGTAAAATGATGTGCCGATATGACAACGTGTGTTGTATTTCTGCAGCATTCGGAAGACGGAGGCGGTGGAAGGCGCGGGGTGACAAATGTCAGCGCCGGAGCGGGCGACATGTGGATCAGCGCAGTCGAGAGTTCAATCCTCACCTGGGAGGAGGTAGGTCTGCTTGAACCGTGCACGCGAAGCGGTCAACAATGTTGTAGATACAAATACACATACGCAGCGACCATCTCGCGAAAGTTGAATCATTCCATTCATCATCATCCTCTTAGCCCGTTTGAGTCCAATAATGTTAATAATCCAATATCCAGGATCCCCAATCCTCTGGGGCAATAATGTTAACATTACTCATAATCATCATTATCTTTCTCAGCCTGTTTGAGTCTATTTTTCAACATAGGCCTAACTCACAGACAGCAACGAAGCGCGATCCTGAGCCACCTGCACCCGGCTTCTTCCCGCACATTTCATTTGCACAGGTCGTCACTCCATCGAGTGAGGGGTCGTACTACCCTGCGTCTTATTCATAAATTTTGCTTGATATAAGTGTAGAAGTTATCGAAAATATGAATAAAAACTAATCCCTAAAACTGTTCCCAAGCATTATGTACCCCTTAAAAACATAAAGTGTAATTTTTGTCTACTCTGGAAAATTCTGAAGTTGAAATTACTTGGTCGTGTACAAATCATATTCCCGGCCTTATAGAGTTAAGAACGGTTGCCTAGAGCTCCCGTATTGCCATAACATAGAGGGGATTTCGCTTCACGTAGCACGTTTTTTATGTGTAAAGAGCCGTGATAGCTCAGTATTTGGGCTCTCGCTTTTAATTGAATGCACTCGAGCAACCAGAGTTAAAATCTCAGTGCCGGCACCAATGTTATTGTTAATAATAAGTGCTGATTTTTCATGTGCTCATCGGTGAAGGGAAAAAAATAACGTGGAAACCTGCGTGTTTTCGAAATAATAACAGTAAAAAAGTAGTTATCTTATTAAAGAGGGATACAGTGTTTTCAAACGAAATAGTGCCATCTCGCAAAGTCAGTAAGTGTTTATCAACCGAATTCAAAAAGAGGATGAGGTTGTCAATATGACGGTATTTTTTTATGTTTGTTACCTCATAACTTTCGATTTGGTGCACCGATTTTGATGATTCTTTTTTTTATTTGAAAGCTGATGCCTCCCATGTGGTCCCATATTAATTTCATCGGTATTGGATCTTGGGCTCCGAAAATACTAAGGGAACTCCTGAAAATTAATTATAAAATGAATTCAGATGTTTTTCGTTGAAAATGAAAATTGACTTGTACTGACTTTGCTTTGTCTGTGTAAAAATAGAATAAACGGTAACGTTTCGTACAAGTGGCTGACATTCGAGTGACGTTATTTCACTGGCGATCATGATCACATGTCGTAAAGCTACAAGTCATTGTTAAAGCTCGTTACTGAACGGGGCGTCTTCCAATTAAGAGGCAGACTAAACAACCAATCGGCTATCGTCACTCATTACCGGTCTTGTTCAGATTGTGTCCTGTATCGCATACATTAGTAGCTTCCAACTAACTATCAATTAATAAGTTTGTGTTAACAAGACAATGAATATTATAAGTTAGGAAGCGTTAGTCTATAAAATACAATTTGTCTGGATTATTTCTTAACTCGATTAACTTTGTTGATGGTTAGTTCAACGAGGCGGCAAATGCTATAAAGAACCATAATATAGGTTCCTTAGATTATTTGAGTCTTTTTATAAATGCCTATCATCAAATTCCTTTGGAAGCCAATCCATGAAATATCTTCGGCCGTCAAGATTGAATTTATTAATATAATATATATAGTAATGGTCGAAAGCGGCTTACAATTGATGAATATATAATATCCATTAATGATAGGTTTACATCAAATCAGAACATGGCTTATTAAAGTGAAAGAAGCATAAAAATCTAGTTTGTATCATTGAATTGGTTGCGCACATACATCATAGTACCTGGAGGACCGAGCTTTGGATATTTTGGAAATTAGATTTAGATACAAATGACTGAGTAATGAAATATGCATAATATTTTTCAATCTTACAAATATGAACTCACTCAAACTCACTCGAACTCTCACAAAATATGAACTGGTGTTTTTCGCAAAAGAAAGAACTTTAAAAAAAAAGGGAAAAAAATAACAAAATAACAAATCGAAAAAAAAAATAACAGATAAAGAAAGCAATGATCTGGAATCGAAAAAATAAGTGTGTAAATGATCGTGATACGAACCACGGCCGTCTGTTTTGGGGCCGCCCGATTACCGACCGAGCTATCATAACATTTTTTTTTGCGGCGAAATTTACTGTCATATTCGAATGATATTTTTCATTCCCCGAAAACAGGGATAAAAGGACATTTTCTAAAAATGAAACCTAGGTAGATCGATTTTTCGCCCCCGAATCTATTCACATACTAAATTTCATGAAAATCGCTGGAGCCGTTTCCGAGATTCTGATTATATATATATATATATATATATATATATACAAGAATTGCTCGTTTAAAGGATAAGATATGAACGAAAGCGTGAGTCCGAGCATGGGTCGGGAATGAAAGGTACCTATGTGAACGTAGATACTAGCTGAATCTAGTCGTCGAATCTCCCATACTCAAACACAAAACACAAAGCGGACTTTAAATATATCACACACTATATATTTTCTTTTTGATTATAAGTAGTTGCCTGAAATACCTCCGAAGTCCAACTTATCAATGAAATTAAGAACCAATGCAAGAAGAATTTTTATGATCGGTTCCTAAATTATATTAAGATAAAAAAATCTCTATAGTACATAGAGCACAAGTAAAAGAATTATTGCGAAAAGTTTAAAACACTTCCACGCAGAACGCTTCCTCGAAAAGAAACTAAAAAGTGGAATCTTTCTCTTTTGGCGTCGGTTAATGAAACCCGGGATTTGTCGCACGTATCCATATACAGCGTGTCCTTACCATCGCGACAATAAATGAACACACGTTTAACGCTACTTGCCAATAATCTTATAAAAATATTAACGTTAAACAAAATCCATAATTAAAAAAAATATTTTTCAAATAAACTAATTAAGTAAAAAAGAAACTAAATTTGTAACATCCTATACAACTCGCGCCACAGCGTCGCATTACAAGCCTCTCCTTCTAACAGTATGTTTTGTCTCTTTTAAATTCATTCAACCCATTCATATGCTTTGTGACCTTTGCAAATGAACTTTACGTTACAGTTTTATACGTAAGGCTGTTCTAAAATTCTTTTTTTCGGAAAATTTAATAACTCTGTAAATATTGATGTTTAAAGAATGTAAATGTTTAATACAATTTTAAAAAGTTATCCCCTATATGTGTGTTCATTTATTGTCGCGATTTTAAAGACATGCTGTATACGTTAGTTCAGTCCAATCAGATACTCGTAGTTGCGTGCGTTTTTGCTTGCGTGTATGCTTGCATGCGAGCGTGTGTTATGTCCAAGCGTGTACTTTGCATGACCATCTGCTTTTGGCATATAACACACACTTAGAGCTCTCGTCGAAATCCGCAATGATTCATAGCGTATCGTAACGGCGAGTCCGACTTAGTTGTGATCAATATTGGGTACAAGGTGCGAGTTCGATGAACTTTTATATTACACTTTAATAACTGACATTAAAGCCATACCGCTGCACGGTGTTAGGAAGTTTCAATTTTTCTGTGTACATATTTTTATACACTATTTATGACGAATAGAGCAGAGTTCTCTGTTCTGATCCATTTATGAGTTCTCGTTCAATGTTCCGTTCTTTGATATAATTGAATTCATCTATTGTTAATGGCTGTATAGTAGCACGCAAATTGCCCCCAAGTATTCTTGTAACAATATTCGATTCTTAGGAGATATCAAATTGAGGAACAGACACTGTTTCAAATTTACATTATATGTAGTAGTGTCTTAAACTTTTAAAACGCCAATTCAATAATTCAATTAAATCAATGGGTGCCATCTATTCATTTCCTCCGTTAGGGCCATGTGGTTGTTTCTAACAAGGTGATAATTACTAAATAATAATGACTAATTTTGGTAAAATGTAAAGTGGGCATGTGATTGTTTAGAACAAGGTGATAATTAGTAAATAGTACCGAATAATTTTGGTAAAAAGTAAAGTATCATCCATACAGATCGGACTAGGGCGTAGTCCATCACGCGACCACATTGCGGATTGGCAGGATTCACATACCTTCGAAATATTTCTTCTTCTTTTGTTACTTCGAAAATATGCGGGTTCCCTTCCTAGGGCACTTGATAGCTCAGTGTCCAGGCGCTCGCTTTAACTTCAATATACTCGAGCGACCCGAGTTCAAATCGCGGTGTGTGCACTAATGAAGTTGTTCATAGTAATTTTAAGTGCTCTGCGGCTAATGAATAATATTGGTATTTATTCAAAAATAATATTTCTCCACGCCCCGGGTTGACTGGGAGAGAATGCCTAAAGTCAATAAGTTCGCCCTTTGTAATCCTTGATTAAGGTAATTGCAATAAAGTATAATTAATTAAATAAATCTAATTTCGTCAGTGGGTGATACTTTGTATGGAACCCTTTTAACTTTGTGCCTTGAAAAGCGACGCCCAGTTGATTAACTGGCCAGCGCAGATCGATATGTTGAAGTTTGTACTTATGAATGCTTAACGATTGACCCAATTCGAACGGTGAGATTCCATTTTAATCATGGACTATTGGATTTACGGCGCTTTCATGATTCGTATCATCGTTTGTTGTGGTTTGTAATATTCTTTGGTCTGGGGCTTAAAGGGCAGCTTTTGTTATAAATATCACAGGAAAATTGTCGTATGTGTTATGTTTATGGTTCTTAAATGGGTAACAAAATAAGAAACCGATGACTAAACGGTAATTTCGACCGAAGTCGGCTTTTCACAGATACGTCCCATCTACAATGCCATCTAGCAAAGCTGTGTGAATAGACTTAAGTAAATAGACACTCCTCTCTCTACTAACCTCCCTCAGTGATGTTGACGGAGTTTACGAATTTCCGCTTTCTGTGATTCTCACATATGCCTTATCAATGAAATTACTATCTATATGTGTACGTCAGTTTACATTTTTTATTAGTTTATATTTTTATATATATGATCCTATCAAACTAGGTACCGAATATTATTACTATGAATAAGATTAGCTTGAATGAAATTATTTTAGCCGCAGATTTCGTTCGTTCAATTTTACATAAGCAATAACTAAGTTAGTGACAACAATATATGCTACTTTTACAAGTTAACTTCTAAATATGTAATCATGAGTTTTAGAAACATATTATATTTAAATATTTTATTAAAAAAAAAAGTATACCAATAATAACATCCATAAATATTAGTATTATATTACATTAGTGTAAATATCGCGGAAAACATAATTTGTGTTTAGTTTTCTTACATAAATCCTTTGAATGTCATTATCCATTGATGATCACATATCTCAAATTTTACCTAAATTTCTGATAGCTATCTACGAACGAAGTAACACTATGTATACACTCTCTTATTTATATACACAGAAATTTATAATGCTATAAATTTCAAGGCAATGGGGTTCTTTGCATATAAGCGACGTTTGCAAAAGGTTGCCCTTTACGTAACGTGTAGATTTTCAATGTTACCATAATCAAGCGTAGATATTTATGCGTGTTTAACAATAGTTTGTAATACGATGGCTTCCCTCCACTTGTATGGTTATAATTGTACATTTGTTGGGGACGGCCTTTACCGGTTGTCGCTTGGAAACGTATTGATTACTAGCTGGTGCCCGCGACTACGTCTGCGTAAAATAGGCTGAAGGCGTAACATTTAGACAGAAAGACAGACATACATAAAGATATCTATATAAAATATAGCCTATGTGTTATTCTGATGTATAAGCTATATTGTTGTAAAGTTTCATTAAAATTCATTCATTAGTATTTGCGTGAAAGAGTAACATACACCCATCCATACATACAAACTTTCGCCTTTATAATATTAGGAATGATTCTTTTCATAGACACCATTCCAGTTTATATTGGTTATTGGCATTGGCTCTTGAATGCCAACTCTAATCGCGTCATCTAAGGTGAAATACCGTCTTATCTGTATAATATATTGCAACAACAAGAGCCTGCCCATATTGGCAACAGCAATATCTGATGTTGCACGACTGTCTGTCCGGGGCAGTACCGAGCGTCACGGAATCCGGCGCGATGTGGAAGTTTTACAATTCTGCATTTCGTCTGCTGAGTGACGTTTCGACGACCCTGTTTCAGGGCGGCCATTTCCAGCAGCCACCTTCTCACATAAAAATCCAAAATAAAAAAAATCTCCACTGATTTTCGCTATTAAAATTAAAATTAACAATACCTACATAAAGGTAACGTTTGTCTTCCCTTTACATAGCGACTATCACGGCATGGTTGGCAGTTCGACGATTGTTATATATTAGATGATACGTAAAAGGAAATGAAGAAACGATTGCCTCTGATTTGAATGGAAACAAAGACCAATCTGAGAATTTACATACTCATACTTCAGAATGCTTTTTCATACATTTTTTTAATGTGAGAAAGTGGCAAACGAGCTGGCGGTTCACCTGATCAAGAATGCCCATGTTTTGTTTATGGTACATATTTAATAATGTGGGCCCTGGCTCCCCACACCAGACGAAACGCAGTTGTCGAAGTACTTTTACGAACTGGAGAACTGGATTGATATCACACCAATGAATCAATTTACGATTCTATTTAACGATATTAAAAGCGCGCGAATGATACGTCTATTGATAAATGAATCAATGTACGATCGACTTACTAATCCATTGATAAAACTAATTAAATGATTATGATAGGTTAAATTAATATGATAGGCTAAATTAATATGATAATTTAAATGAACTCATTGTCCGGGCGCTCGCTTTAAATTCAATATACTCGAGCAACCTGAGTTCGATCCCCGGTGCCGGCACCAATGAAATTTTTAATTTTAAGTTGAATTATCACGTGCTCAGCGGCGAAGGCAAACGTCGTGAGCAAAGCTGCATGTTTTCGAAATAATAACGAAAAAAAAATTTCGAAGATATCTGAAGTCTTCTCTGATGCCCTCTGCACAGAGGAGGCCTTTGCCGAGCAGTGGGACATATATAGGCTTTTATACACACACACACACTATAGGTTTTTCTTTCTTTTTTAAATTAATAATCCCGGGATAAGTTCGTCAAGTAGCTGCCATTGTAATGCCAATTTTGTTGCCAGGTCGCCGATCGGCTGCACGTCGACGTGCGCCGTGGTCTGACATGGCGCGACGCAAATGACCGCATGAACTTCGTGGGCCCCAACGAGTTCCAGGTGAAGGAGGAGGACCCCCTGTGGAAGAAGTACTTCGAGCAGTTCCAGAACCCCCTCATCCTTCTTTTGCTGGGTGAGTCTGGAGTGTATTAATCTGGTTTTTTTAACCGACTTCAAAAAAGGAGGAGGTTTAGGTTCGACTGTATATATATATATATATATTTTTTTTTATGTGTATTAGCGGATAACTTCGTCATTTATGAACCGATTTTCTCTATTCAGTATTCTCTTTTTGTTGGAAAGGAGATATCCCAAGGATGGTACCATGATAAGGAAACCCGGATTTGATGATGTCATCCCAGAGAAATCGAGGGCAATCCTCAAATGTTATAGGTGTTGACAATGTTTTTTTAGTTTCCTGTTTGAAGTCGGTTTTTTTTTGTTCAGAACTATTGAGACATCGCCATTCTTCTGGGATAACGTTATCCCGTGTTGTAAGGACGTTTGGCAAATATAAATTTCACGCGGACAAACGCCCGGATGCGAAACAACTAACTATTAGTGGGTCACACAAATAGTTGTTCAGTGTGGGGATCGAACCCACGACGCCCGACGCCGAAGCCGATACCTTGGCAACTGCGCCACGGAGTCGGCTAAATAATAATCTTAATAGTGTCAATATAGTTGACTCCGCGTCTCGCTCTTCCAGCACAGGATAATTGTCCTACAGTAATGGTGTTAAAGGGTTTTTGGGAACGGGATTTTAATTCTAAATACGCCTTCAATTCACATCGTGTAAGAGTGGCCGAAACGCAAGAGATTTAACGACCGCGTTTCGTTTGTTTTACAACTGTTTCGACAACATATTCTTATAAGCTTGATTGTCTGTCCAGGTTAGAGTAGCGATCCCCGCTCGATAACGACTTGCGAGTAATGACAACTGACTTGCATGTTTAATTTATAGTACCCGGAGGACAGAGCTTTGCTCGGTTTGTTTATTTTTTTTTGGTAAATCGTGTATTTTGGAAATTACATTTAGATACAAATTACTGAGTAATGAAATATGCATGATATTTTTCGATCTTACCGACTTAATAGTAAGAAAATATGAACTGATGTTTTTCTCAAAAGAAAGAACTTTTAAAAAAAGGGAAAAAAATAACAAAAAAAGAAATCGATAAAAAATTAAAAATAAAGAAAGCAATGATCTGGAATCGAAAAAACTAAAAAATGAATGTGTAAATGATTGTGACGCGAACCACGGCCTTCTGTTTTGGAGCCGCCCGATTACCGACCGAGCTATTATGACATTTTCTCTTGCGGCGAAATTTGCCGTCATATTCGAATAATATTTTTCATTCCCTGAAAACAGGGATAAAAGGACATTTTCTGAAAATGAAACCTAGCTAGATCGATTTTTTCGCCCCCAAATCTACGCATATACTAAAATTCATGAAAATCGCTGGAGCCATTCCCGAGATTCCGATTATATATATATATATATACAAGAATTGCTCGTTTAAAGGATAAGATATGTAAAAAGGCCCCACGCTATTGGATAATATTTTATATAATATGATATTTTAGGAATTATTATTACGGCTTTATTATCATTTTTCCTACATTTTTGAAAAATGCTAGAAACACGTGACATACGCCAACGAATACTTTATTCGCCTAAAACCGGTTGGGGCTATTTATCGATGCAGGTCCGAGCATATTTTATGTAAAGTTTTGTTTTGTCTTTTCCTACTTCAATTTGGCGTTTGAATCTACAATTCTTTTTTCCTTTATACGTTTAGCAATAAAACCCCTATATTCCTACCAACTTGTGATACCCATAAAACGCGATAAGTTTGTCAGCTCTCATGAATTTATATCACTGGATGAGATCGAACTGTACTATTGGATAAATAATTATTGATTTTTGTATTGTGTGGGTGTTCATGTATCTCTAATATGTATTTATTTAGAGTAGAAAAGTATGTTTAAGTATGTTTATCAGTTGGGTAGTAACTATAGTACTAGCCTTTTCTTAGTATAGGTCTAGAAAATGATGTCTGAATTCATGTAAAAACGAAGGCCAACATATGAACATATGAACCCTTTAATCACTCAATTTAGTTTAAAAAAACCGCATCAAGATCCGTTGTGTAGTTTTTAAACATCTAAGCATGCATAGGGACAGACAGACAGCGGGACGAATTTGTTTTATAGGTATTATGTAGTGATGATTAATAAAAAATCACTTTGCCAGTACCCACGGGAGCGACTCGGTGCACATCGGCGCATAAACCCAACGATCCTATACTAGCAGCGTTTCATGAATATCAAATCTCCGATTTGCATAGATATCGTTGGGCGATACGTTTACTCAAGCGGTGCGATGTGCGCCAGCTTATTCGATTCGCATATCTTCGTGTGTACATTCAGCTTTACTGTTATTCGATCTATGTCCATTATATACTCTTTTTACATGTATCTTTTTTGCCGCGCGCATTCCGCTCGCCAGTTCATTGCCTTCTTTGCTGAAAAAAAAAAATCCCAACACTGCGTTAGCCGAGTGAAGCCGGGACCCGTAGACGTTATTAGATTTTCTTTAGGGTTCCGTACCTTAAAAGGTAAAAAAGGAACCCATTATGGAATCACTCTTGTCTGTCCGGGTGTCACACGTTATGAGATCGCTCACTTGTCCGTCTGTCTGTCTGGGTTTCACCGCCGTTTTACCAATTTTGTTTCCGTACCTAACCATTATATGTTAGGTACGGAACCCTCGGCGTATGAGTTCGACTCGCACTTGACCGGTTATTTTTATGGGGAAAACCGTCAAGCGATCAGGAGGTTCACCTGATGTTAAGTGATTACCGCCTCCCACGGACATCTGCGACACCTGTGTGGTAGACACGGTGAAGACCCTTTAAAAAACCGTGCCCTCTTTATCTCACTCGCCAGACGAAACACTAGTATAATACTACCACTTCACGCCGGTCTTCTACCACTTGGGCCGTGCTACTACCCTGGATGACCTTACTCTTTAGTGCTATAGTAAAAGTTGCTGCGTGGCCCTACCACAGGAGTATCAAAGATATGAAGGAACGATGACACTGACACTATGCATTCAGTTATCTTCTATATTGATTAGGAATCGTATTTAAATCCTTTTATCGAATTTCATACTATGGACAAGATAGTTATATTTTTCATTTAATTTAAATTAAGTTCGTCCTGCAGAGGTTGCTATATAAAATAGGACTCGACAGACGTTGTGTAAGACGTGTGGTCTTAAATCCGACAACATCTTATAAAATTTTAATTAAAAAAACATTTTGTATTGGACCGAATTGTGAATCTAAACCATTTTCGAATCCACTCAACAATACTCAAACCCACAAAAAAGAATCTCATCAAAATCGGCCCAGCCGTTTAGGAGGAGTTCAGTTAAATAAACACGTATATGACATTAAAATTTGTACAAATTAGCAATATAAAAATATGCAGAGATTAATGCACTATAAAAAAAAATAATTTCTAAACGTACATGATAATTATGTACATAAAGATATTGTCAGCATTTAAAAGTTACACGTATGGTCCAATAACACTAACGACGTGTTTCTGAAATCACAGATTATTCTGTTCATTAAGAAGATCATTCCGATCAACTCAGAGAGTTTAACCATCCTTTTGGCAACTCAAATGATATGTGAAAAGCCATTTGACGGCTGATTAGTTAATTTCTAAGATGATTAGTGTTTCAGAAACCGGGCGTGAATAGCCAATTTTTTAACGATAGAAGTCTTGACGCAGTTTAGGACACACGCAGACCTAAGATACATTTGTAACAGCATTCTTATAGCCCCTTTAGCGCCAAGGACGACTAGCTCCTAGCTAAATATTTGGTCCGTTGATTATTCTAAATAGAGGTCAACTATGCATTAAATTAATTTTGTATACCATATAGCGCGCTCATAGTACCACGTACAAGCTTCATATTCTCCCGCAGGGTTGTCCAACTAGGCATAGATTCACCTCAATTTATTTTCTGCTAGTATGTTGGTTAACTTGACGCTGTGGTTCTCGTGATAAATTTAGGTGCACATTGTCCCTAAAGGATACAAGTAGTCGCGGCCTTTAGAGTCAAAGTGTGAGTATGTTGAATTTTTTTTATGTGAAAAGTTGCCAAACTAGCACACGGTTCACCTGATGGTAAGTGAATATCGCCGCCCATGGACATCTGCTACACGAGGGTTACAGATGCGTTGACAACCTTTTGAAAATTGGGTTTCGCTACCTCACTCACCAGACGAAACTCGAAAGTATTTGTGTGCACTTTAACGATCAGGAATGCTATTTAGTAGTTTAAAAGGATCATCAATGAAATTTAGTAATTGTGTGCATTAGTTTTAGCGTAATAGTCATCTCTGATGACTGGTAGTCATCCATCCGTCCGTCTCTCTACAGGCTGTATTTTCACAGAAGATGTATTTAGATTGCCTATCAAATACTAAAAAACAGACTAAAAATATTTAAGTGGGTCTCCCGTATAACAGACATGATTATTTTGCCGTTTTTATAGAACTAGCTGCTGCCCGCGACTACGTCTGCGTAGAATAGGCTGAAGGCGTAACATTCAGACGGAAAGACAGATATACATAAAATATGTATATAAATATGTATTAAGAAGGATGGTACGGAACCCTTGGTGCGCGAGTCCAACTCGCATTTGGCCAGTTTTGACAGTGTTCATAAACTCTCTTTAAACAGTTTTCAATTACGAATCAATTGATCATATTTTATAGGTGTCGCTTCAGAAATTTGAATAATTTAAATACAAATCATATTATAAATTGACTTGCTGTGACCAATCATTACAGCATAAACATTGATGCCTCAAGAAACGCTACAGTTGCCACGACTCATTTGAAGACCAGTTTGACAAGTATTTCATTTTAGAATTTTCGTCGTGAATATTCGCATCGACCTTTTTGACGCTATAGATTTGTTGTGATCGATTGAATGTCTTATTCAAATCTAAGACATAATATATAATTAGCAAACCATTCTCTAATAATTCTTGAATATTGTTATGGGTAAGATTCACGTATTAGGGACTTGTAAAGGAAAACGCTGTCA